TGCTCCAAGTGGGCTCGAAGAGCCCCGGGAGAGCCCGAACGAGGAAACATCCTCCAAATCCTGAAGTAAAACATTCATTTTGGCAATTCCTGTGTTTGTCGTCCTCAAAGCGCCCAAGACGGCAATGTTGTCTCCCAAGATCGTCACAAGAGGGCCCAGGAGCCCCCCGGGAGGGCCCCAAGACGGCCCAAGGCGGTCCCAGGACGGCTCCTGAGGCGCCCATGACGGCCCCAGAGGCTCCCATGACAGCCCCAAGAGGGGCCAAAGACGACCCGAGAGCCCCAAGGCGGTCCGAGGACAGCCCCGGAGCCGCCCAAGACGGTCCCAGACGGCCCCAAGACGGCCCAAGGCGCACCCAAGACGGCACAAGAGCGACTCCAAGGCGGCCCCCTCACGGTCCCAGACGGCTCCAAGACAGCCCCACGAGGACCCCGATGGGCCCAGGACGGCCTACGGACGCGCCCATGAAGGGCCCACGACGAACCAAGACGGCCCCATCACGGCACGCGGCGCCCTCAAGACGCGCCTGGACGGCTCCAACACGGCCCTTTGAGGGAGCCAACGCGGCCCCACCTTCTTCGGGCGCGCACTTGGGGGGGCTGGGAGCTTGCGACAAGTCTCCCACATTCATTGTCCTGCCCCATGCCCCACACCCTTCGGGCGCACACTTGGGGGGGTTGGGGGCTGGGAGCTTGCGACAAGTCTCCCACATGCATTGTCCTGCCCCATGATGTTCGCCTCTCTGACAGGCGACAGCGGCCACGGCCGACCTCGTCGACGTTGCCGCGGAATGCCAGGCCGTCTTTCACGAGGCTGCCCGGCTCTCCGCCAGCCGCGCGACACTGTCATCCAGGCGAGGGCTCCAAGACGGCCCCCAGGGGGGCCCGAGACGGCTCGGAGAGAGTCCCGACAGGGCCCCGACAGGTCCCCAGAGCGGCACAATGCGGTTCGGGCCGGCACCGAGAGAGCCGTGATACGGATTTGGTTCGCAGGGAGGCTCCAAACCGGAAGGCGAGGCCTTTGTGGTTGCATGTTCCGGCCCTTTCCGATGACCTTTTCGGGCCCTCTCGGTGCCCTGTCGGCCCCTCGTAAAGCTCGGGGGCCGCCCAGTCGAGGCACCCGCGGAAAAAAACCGCTTTATCAAATAGATAACAGGGTCGGGCCCTAAACGTCCGAAAAAGTTTGTTCGGACGTTTTGGGCCGCGCCCTGTTTTTTTTCACCATCGAAATTATATATTTGCCCGCGCAGCGCTACCAGCCGTGCGAGGTTGACTCATGTCCCCTGGCCCCCCGAGGCTCTGCGCGCGCTTCCCGTTGTCCCAGGGCATCCCCCCCCCCCTCCGTGTCAGTAGCTTGTTTGGCTCGCCGCCGCCGGCCCCCCGCGACCCCCCCGCGGGCCGCGCCGCCGCCCCTGGGATTTTACGTGCCTAGGCGCGCGGCCCGCCCAGCCCGCCACGCGCGAGGTCGCGAGGTCAGAGGCGCCCGCCGGCCCGCGCGTCCGATTACACGCGCGCAATCCGGCCTCCGAGCGCGGCCTCGCCCGAGTGCCCAGGCGCCTACTTCGACGGCCAGTTGGCCCGGAACCTTCGAGGGTAGGGCAACTGCTGCGGCGAATTGGGTCCGCCGCCGCGGAAGGCGCCCGCCGTGACGCGGCCGCGGCTTCGAACTGACGATGGCGAGATGGCTGAATAACGCGCGGGCGCTACACGCCGCAGGCAACCTCGGGCAGTAGCAGGCCGCTTGGATCGAAGCCATTCCAGCGTGGTCCTGGGACTCGCGCGCTGACGCCTGGAGCAACACTCTGGCAGACCTTCGAGAGTGGCTCACGACCCACTCCGGTACATGCCCTTCGCGCACCAGCTCAGACGGCAGGGAGAAGCGCTGAGGGCTCTTTGTCAAACATGCTCGCGCCCGCGCACGGGCAGGCGCCGGCCGCGACGCTGCAGTTGCCGCAGCTCGACTAGCTCAACTGGAAGCGCTCCCAGGCTGGACGTGGGTGCACATGGCTCGCTTCTTTGGCGCGGGCGCAAGCGTGGCGCGCCCGGAATGGCCGCTGGCCAAGCCGAGCTGGGAGTTCCCAGGAGGAGCGGTTCTGCGCGATGTGGATCAACACCGCCAGAAAGCAACGCCAAGCTGGCGCTCTGGACCCCCAGCGCGTGGCACACTTCGATGCGCGGGAGCTGTGGACCTGGGCCGCGCGGCAGGTCTCCTGGCAGGCCAGCCTCGCAGATCTCCGCGCGTGGCTGCAGGCCCACGGCAGCCAGTTCCCCCGCCGCGGGCCCTCCGCCTCGCCAGACGAGTTGCGACTGGCCTCCTTCGTAGAGAATGCGAGGAAGGACGCCTTGCGGCTGTGCGCGGACCGCCGCCAAGCATCGCAAAGTCCCCCTAACTGGGCACGGCGCGGCTGGAATCGCACCTGGGAAGAACATTGCCAAGCCGTGCAGACATGGTTCCAGAGCCGCGCGGGCGAGCACCCTCAGCCCAACCCACACGCACACGCACCGATGCCGAGCAGCCCCACTTAGCCACGTGGGCGCAGCGCCAGCGTCGTGCACGCGCCAGGCACAGACCCGGCTGCTGCCCGCGCACGCGTGCTCGATTGGCTTCCCTTCCCGGCTGGACATGGGGACATCGGCACGGGCATTTATGCGCCTTCCTTGTGGGCCTTGCCGCTGGTATTCGGTGTCCGGAGCCGGCTGTTCTGATCCTCAAACCCATCGACGGCGCGCACTACTGCCGACATCACCGCGCCCTAATTCAGGGCCAGGGCGCACGAGGGGCACGACAACGGCCGAGAGACGCCGTGCTTGGAGAGACGGTTTCTCAACGGCGCCCTCTTCCATCGAAGCTTATGCGGCGCATGCGCCACAAGGCGCCACCACCCGCCGAGGCAGAACATCCGCCAAACGGCCTCCGCCCCAGAACGGCATCACCCACCGCGGCCACCCCGAACGAGACCACGCGCCCGCCGGACGACGACCCCGCCCGTCAGGAAACCCCATTGCACGCGCCCAAGAAGCGTCGGCTCTTGCACACGGCTCCACCCGCACAGGGCCCCTCCAATCCGACGCCCCTGGCCAGCTGTCGACGGCCCACGGCGTTCCCGATCGCCCCGCCGCCGGAAGTCTCTGTGCACGGTGCATGTGGGCCGGTGCTTGCGGCCTCTCTGCAACGATGCGCGTCTGCGACAGCTGCTACTGCTCCCGACGCGCAGCTCGCCTGCGAGGCCACCTCCGAGTCGCCTTCGAGCAATGCTTCGCCTAGCAGCGTGCACGGGCACGGCCGTGCCTCCTCACCCATCCCGTGGACTGACTCATGGACACATGCTCTCTGTGTCAGTCGTGCAACTTCCCCGAAGAGCGCGCGGCACCAGGGAACCATGGGGGGGGGCGGCCACTTCAGCCTGTGCTGCCAGCGGGGCCCCGCGACGCCCACGCAAATACGGCCCCTTCCCAGACCGCCACCAGCGCTGGAACGCATCCCCCTCGGAGCGACGCCAGCCGACCGAGTCGCACGAGATGCGCTGAAGAGCTACAACCACGCCGTCTCCCCCGTGTCCTACGGAGGGGACTGGTTCCACGAGATCAGGGGAGGCGGCCCCCCGGTGGTGAAATGCCACGGCGTGGCCCACCACCACGCCGGAGCCCTGTTCCCCCAGGGAACAGACGCGCCGAAGTACGCGCAAATCTACCTCTACGACCACAACGACGCACTGCAGACACGACTCGCCGAGAACCGCAACCAGGCATCCACCGCGACATCACTGGCCAGATTCAGGAGATGCTGAACGCCATCAACCCGCACATTCCCCTCTACCGCGCGATGCGCGACGTGCTGGACGCAAATGGGAGGCCCGAAGTGCACGCGGCGATTCGCAACGACGGGAACCAGGACATGCGGCGCTACAACGCCCCTACCAGGTACGAGCCATCCATCCTGTTCGCAGGCGCTGCCTCGTCGGGCTACCGCGACGTGGCTGTCTGGCCGCGCTCTCCCGATCATGACGTTTGCCGGCTCAACGACTGCTGCGAGCATCTCGACCCCTTGGCCTGCCCGCAGCTTTTCCCGCACGGCGACCCTGGGTGGCACTCGGAATTGAAGAACGCTACTGCCGCAGGAGCGCCGCCGCGGAAGATGCCGCGCGCAGCCTTCTACGCGCACCGGTCATGCTCAGGGACTCTTGCGCCGACGACACGGACCCCCAGGGCGCATGGCCCGCAACAAATATCGGCCTCCCGCACTCTGCCAAGACGTTGTTCCAGATGTGGGTCTGTGACGCGTGGAGCCGCGCGGAGTCCCGCCGCTTGTGGTGGGTCCGCGACCACCGATATCGGACCTCCGTGCAGAGACGTACGTTGGCCTCCAGGACGCCGTCGCAGAGCCTGGGCTCGCGCCCGGGACCTCGAAGGCCGGCAAGCAGGTCATCCCGCCCGCAACTTACGCCGGCAGTCCACGAAATATGCTCGCCCACTATTTGGATGCCATGACGATTGTGAAGCATTATGGCAAGCCCGACTATTCCATCACGATGACATCTAACCCACGTTGGCCAGATGTCGCCGCAGCTCTTCGACCGGGCGAAACAGCTTCCGACCGGCCCGACCTCCTCGCGCGGGTGTTCCACTTCAAGATGAAAGAGCTGCTCGCCCTCCTGCTCCAGGCACGTCCTTGGACGCGTCGACGCGTGCAGCTGGGTCATCGAGTTCCAGAAGCGTGGGCTCTCACACATCCACATTCTCATCGTCGTGCGACGCGAGGACAAACCGGCCAGCCCCGCCGAGGTGGACGACGTCATTTCAGCTGGACTTCCAGACCCCTTCCGTCCAGAGCAAGCCGGTCTCCTCGAGATGATTCTCTCTTGCCAGATCCACGGCCCTTGCTGCGCCCGCAGCCCGCACTGCCCCTGCATGCAGGGCGGCCGCTGCACGAAACGGTACCCTCGCCAGCTCCAAGAAGAGAGACGCTGCTACAGGTGAACGGCTACCCCTTGTCAGCTACAGCGTTGGGATCAGCGCGTGCGAGAAGGGCGAGCAGTGGCAGCGGGCGCTGGCGCAGTTGAGCGAGATGCGGGAGGTGAAGTTGGAACCCAACGTCATCAGCTACGGCGCTGGGGTCAAGGCATGCGAGAAGGGTGGGCAGTGGCAGCAGGCGCTGAGCATGCTCAGAACCATGCCTGTGAGAAAGGGGAGCGTTGACTTCACGGTCTACGGGATTGCAGCCAGCATGTGCGAGCAACGCGGGCAATGGAGCCAAGTGCTGTCTTTATTCAGGGAAGTCCATGTCCTAGCAACAGGAGGTTGATACAATACATGTCATCATGTTCGATACATGTGTTTGTTCAGTTGCATCGCTGGGACCGGCGCGTACGAGAAGAGCGAGCAATGGCCGATGGCTTTGGCGATACTGAGCGAGGTGCGGACGGCAAAGCTGAAGCCTGACGCCCAACATCTCTACGCCCAAGAGCGCTCCGAGACGCCCCCGGGGGGCCTCCAGCAGAGCCCCAAGACGTCCCAGGACGTTCCAAGAGGGCCTCCGAGACGGTCCAGGAGTGCTAGAAGACGCTCAAGATAGCTCCAGACGGCCCAAGAGGCCCCCAAAACGCTCCAAGTGGGCTCCCAGAAGACGCCCGACAGAGCCCGCACAAACAAAATTCGTTCCAAGCTGGCCCCAGGGCCCCCAAGATCGCGCCACGATGGCCCAATAGGCCCCCAAGAGCTCCCAAACAGCACAAGAGGGCCCCAAGACGGCCCCAGGAGTGCCTCACGAGGTGAAGCTCCAACTGGAATTTCGCGTTCTCCGTTCCAGGATGATCCCAGAAACCGCCAGTTGCCCTCCACGAATCCCCCCCGACGCCCCAGAAGGCCCTACAGTGCAGGAAGACGGCCCAAGAGGGGTCCAAGAGGCCCCCGAGAAGGGCCCCGATACGCAATGATGGATGTTCCTCAAATGTTTGAAGGGTTTCAGCATTTTCGCTTTTTCAGAGTCTCCACGCTTCGAGCCGGCCCCAGGGCCCCCCAAGAGCTCCCAGACGGCGCAAGAGGGCCACAAGACGGCCCAAGAGCCCCCCAAGACGGCCCAAGACGGTCCCAAGAGGACCACACGAGGGGGAACTCGAACTGACATGTCGCGCCCTCCGCTCCATGATGATCCCAGACACCGCCAGCTGGCCCCCAGGAGGCCCCCCGAACGCCCCAGAAGGGCCCCGAAGAGACCCTCGAAAGGCCAGAAGACACCCCCGAAACCGCCTCCAAGAGGCTTCCGAGGGAAGATCCCTCAGAGAGCTCTGGAACTGCGCCGGCCACCCAGGAAAATAATGCGCCGATGCACCTCTTATTGAAATGGCCTCTGGCCAGTGCCGCCGATCCGGGGCGCTTCGGATGATGGTGATGATGACGATGATGATGATGCTGATGATGATGATGATGATGATGTTGATGATGATGATGATGATGATGATGGTGGTGATGATGATGATGATGATGACGATGACGGCGATGACGACGATGACTATGAAAATTACGATGACGATGACGATGATGATGATGATGATGATGATGATGATGATGATGATGATGATGATGGTGGTGGTGGTGGTGGTGGTGGTGGTGATGATGATGATGATGATGATGATGATGATGATGATGATGATGATGATGATGATGATGATGATGATGATGATCGATGACGATGACGATGACGATGCTGATGATGATGAGCCCTCTTGGGCCGTCTTGGGGGCCTCCTGGGCCTGCGTACGCCCTTCTTAGGCCGTCTTGGAGCCTTTTTGAGGGCCCCTGGAGCGTTTTGGACACTGGGGGGTCCTTGGGGGCCAGTTGGGGCCTTTTGGGGCCTCTTGGGGGCGTCTTGGGGCCTCCTGGGGGCCTCCTGGGGGCCTCCTGGGCCGTCTTGGGCCCTTCTTGGGCCGTCTTGGAGCCCTTTTGGGCGCCTCTTGGGCCCGTCCTGGAGCCCTCTTGCGCCGTCTTGGGGGCCTCCTGGGCCTGCGTAAGCCCTTCTTAGGCCGTCTTGGAGCCTTTTTGAGGGCCCCTTGAGCCGTTTTGGACACTGTGAAGGCCCAAGAGGCGAACATGCTAAAAATGTAGGTTTTACTAAGGGAAATCGATGATTTTGGCCGGTCGGGGCCCTTTTGGAAGACCTCTTGGGGGCCTCTGGGGGCGTCTTGGCGGGCTCTTGGGCTGTCTTGGGTTCATGTTCGGCGTCTTGGATCGATTTTTGGGCGATCCAGAAACGTCTTGGCCCGTCTTGGCGGCTTCTTGGCAACGTTTGGGTCCGGTTTGGGCCAACCGAACCCCGACCAACCGAACCCAATCTGTGGACCCCCCCCCCTACCCCGGCAGAGCCACCCCGGCCCACCCCCCCTTTCAACTCACACGCCGGATCGGCGGATTTTCTGCCCTCCTCTGCAAAGGCTCCAGTCTGACTTGCTCGCATCTTCGGAGCCTCCACGCCCCAAGCCGGCCCCAGGGCTCCCAAGAAGGCTTCCGAGGGAAGATCCCTCAGAGAGCTCTGGAACCGCGCCGGCCTCCCAGGAAAATAAGGCGCCGATGCGGCTCTGATTTTCTTTCCTCCTCTGCAAAGGCTCCAGGCTGAGGTCGGGATCAAGCAGCAATGAGCGACATCAATTAAGAGGCAAACGCCGAAGAAAGACAAAACGAAAAGCCGCGAGTGGCAAAACGCAGCACCCAGCAACAGCAAGCGGCTGTAAAAGGCACTGGGCATAAGCAAGCACGCTTGCCCAGACACCGCTCGCCACCTCGAGCAGATGTCGTGGACGTAGTCCACGGGTCAGCCCTATCTCCTACAACACTGGGATCAGTGCGTGCGAGAAGGGCGAGCAGTGGCAGCGGGCGCTGGCGCTGTTGAGCGACATGTGGAAGGCGAAGGTGGAGGCCAACGTAATCTGTACTACAATTCCGGGCGAAGCGCGTGCGAGAAGTACAAGCAGTGGCCGCGCCCCGGGCCGCCCAGAAAGCTCGCGGGCCGCCCGGAGAGCCTCTGGGCCGCTGCCCGACGGGCCCGGGAGGCCCCCGGACCGCTCGCGGACTGATCCAGGATTCCCAGATCGCCCCCAGACGGCCTCAGGAGGTCCCGAAGACAGACGGTCCAAGAGTGTATCCGAGACGCTTACGATGGCTTCAAGACGCCTTCAAGACGGCCCGAGACGCCTCCACGAGGCCCCCACAGCGCTCGAAGTGCACCTCCAAGAGGGGCCGCAGAAGCCAAAATCGTTGATTTGCTTAGTTTTTCCCCATGTTTCTGGCCTTCTCGCTTTTTCGGCTGTCCGACGCTCCACGGCCGCCCAAAAGGCCCCCAAGACCGTTCCAAGACGGCCCAAGAGGCCTTCAAGACGGCCCCAAGACGGCCCAAGAGTCGCCCAAGACGGCCCAAGAGGGCCCCAAGAAGGCCCCAAGAGAGGCCCAAGACAGGGACCCGGAACCGAAAAATCGAGGCCTCCACCCCAAGAGGCCTCCAGGAAGCCCCAAGACGCCCCAAAGAAACGCCGGGACGCTCCCAAGACATCCCCAGGAGGCCCCAGGACGCCCCAAAGAGGCCCCCCAGAGGCCGCCAAGCGCCCCAAAAGGCCCCCAAGAGGCCCGGGCCCAAGAGGCCCCAAGACGCACCCAAACTGCTATCAAGAAGCCCCCAAACTGTCTCCCAGAGGCTCCCGAGAGGCCAACCACGAGATCCCAACCAACATCCACGAGATCTCTTACCCATTACCCAGGCCCGCGGCGAGATCGCCCGCAGGCCACTACAGCCGGTTCGGGGGCCCTACGCATACCAGCACCCGCACCTTTGGCTGTATCGGGGGCCTCACCGCTGCTCTCTCGGTTCTGCTGGCTTCGATCTGCCAGAGCTCTCGAGACGGCCATCTCGACGGCCCGAGAACCCCGAGATGGCCCCAGGACCACCCTGCGCGGGCCCTCTAACGTGGCCCCTTACTCTGACGGTGCCCGAAAACCCTTGAGTTTGCTGATCGCGCCCAGTCCCAGCGCGATTAGCAAAAACCCATTCCTTTTCACGCTTCCAGCTCAGTGCCCCCGGGGCTCCCCGACTGCTTTCTGAGATCGCCCCTGGACGTGGCCCCTTACACGTCGGCCCCACGCGCGGCCTCCAAACGGGACCCCCAAAGGCGGCCACCACACAAGCCTCCGAAGGTCGCCCCTACCGCCCCAGTAAGCGTGGCCTCCGAACGTCAACCCCACGCGTAGCCCCCAGGCGCCCCCAAACGTGGCCCCAACACACAGCCCCCAACCATTGCCCTCAAACGTGACCGTCACATCTGCCCCCGAACCCCACACCCTCAAACGCGACCGTCACATGTGCCCCCGAACCCCGCACGCGGCCCCCAAACATGGCCCCCGGCAGGGCCGCGAACGTTGGCCCCAACCATGACACCCTGACGAGACCCCCCAACGTGGCCCTCAAACGAGGCCCCCCAACGTGGCCTTCAAACGAGGCCCCCCAACGTAGCGCCCAACTCTGGCCCCCACGCGTCCACCCCCCACATCGAACTTCTCGCGCACTGGGACTCTGTAAGATCGTTTGGGCCCCCTTACTCTGATTGCGTCTGAAAACCTAAGTGTTTCTGCTAATCGCGCCCAGGCCTCGCGCGATTAGCAAAAACACATTACTTTTGACGCTTCCAGCGCTTCCGACACGTGCGCGTTCGGGACCAATGCCTGGACCTGTGGGCCGTGGATTTTCCACGGGTTCACACTAGTCTGTACTACAATTCCGGGCGAAGCGCGCGCGAGAAGTCCAAGCAGTGGCAGCGCCACAGGCCGCAGAGCCTCTGGGCCTCTGCCCGACGGGCCCGGGAGGCCCCCGGACCGCTCGCGGACTGATCCAGGATTCCCAGATCGTCCCCAGACGGCCTCAGGAGGTCCCGAAGACGGCCCAAGACGGTCTAAGAGTGTATCCGAGACGCTTACGATGGCTTCAAGACGCCTGCAAGACGGCCCGAGACGCCTCCACGAGGCCCCCACAGCGCTCGAAGTGTACCTCCAAGAGGGGCCGCAGAAATCGTTGATTTGCTTAGTTTTTCCCCATGTTTCTGGCCTTCTCGCTTTTTCGGCTGTCCGACCCTCCACGGCCGCCCAAAAGGCCCCCAAGACCGTTCCAAGACGGCCCAAGCGGCCTTCAAGACGGCCCCAAGACGGCCCAAGAGTCGGCCTCCACCCCAAGAGGCCTCCAGGAAGCCCCAAGACGCCCCAAAGAAACGCCGGGACGCTCCCAAGACATCCCCAGGAGGCCCCAGGACGCCCCAAAGAGGCTCCAAGAGGCCCCCCAGATTCCGCCAAGCGCCCCAAAAGGCCCCCAAGAAGCCCGGGCCCAAGAGGCCCCAAGACGCCCCCAAACTGCTACCAAGAAGCCCCCAAACTGTCTCCCAGAGGCTCCCGAGAGGCCAACCACGAGATCCCAACCAACATCCACGAGATCTCTTGCCCATTACCCAGGCCCGCGGCGAGATTACCCGCCGGCCACTACAGCCGGTTCGGGGGCCCTACGTATACCAGCACCCGCACACTTGGCTGTATCGATGCAGGGCCCTGGGGGGCCGAAACCTCGGGAAACTCAGATCGTCTTGGGCGGTGTCCAAGCAAGGCCTTGGGGTACGTGTGGGGACCAATCCTGGCGCAGTGGAATGGCCAGAGCCTTCGGATTTTCGCTAATCGCGGAGAGGCCGGGCGCGATTAGCGAAAACCCGATGCTTTTTGAGACCTCCACGCCCGGCCTTACTCGATTACGATAGCCCTCTTGGGTCGGGCGCCTCGTGGGGCGGCTTGGGGCAATCTTGGGGGTGTGAGGCCGTCTCGGACCTCGCGTTGGGCTCCCGTGGGCGGCTTCTGCGGCTGTGCTGGGCCCTGCTGGGGGTCACTTGAGGCTTCGGCGACACGTGCGAGTTCGGGACCAACGCCTGGACCTGCGGGCCGTGGATACTACAATGCAGGGCCCCGCGCGTGCGAGAAGGGCGATTCTGGTCAAAAAGCGTAGCAGGCCCAAGACACGCCAAGAGGGCCCCAAGAGGCCCCCAAGACGGCCCCAGAGGGCCCCGGGACGCCCCAAGATGGGCCCAAGACGCGCCAAGAGGGCCTCAAGAGGCCCCCAAGACGGCCCCAGAAGCTCCGGGACGCCCCAAGATGGGCCCAAGACGCCGAAGATTGGGCCAAGACGGCCCCAGAGGCGGCCCAAATGCCCCCCAAGAGGCCTCCCAAGAGGCTTCCCAGCAGGGCCCCGAGCGGGAGAAATCGTCGATTTCCATTGTGTTTTTCTATGTTTTTCGCATTCTCCTCTTTTCGCCGTCCCTGCGCTCCAAGACGGCCCAAGAGGTCCCCAAGACCGCTCCAAGACCACCGACGAGGCCCGCAAGAGGGCCTCAAGACGGGCCAAGAGGGCCCCCAGACGGTCCCAAGACGCCCCAAGACAGCCCAAGACGGCCCCCCAAGACGGCCCCAGAGGGCCCCGGGACGCCCCAAGATGGGCCCAAGACGCGCCAAGAGGGCCCCAAGAGGCCCCCAAGACGGCCCCAGAGGGCTCCGGGACGCCCCAAGATGGGCCCAAGACGCCGAAGATTGGGCCAAGACGGCCCCAGAGGCGGCCAAAATGCCCCAAGAGGCCTCCCAAGAGGCTTCCCAGCAGGGCCCCGAGCGGGAGAAATCGTCGATTTCCATTGTGTTTTTCTATGTTTTTCGCATTCTCCCCTTTTCGCCGTCCCTGCGCTCCAAGACGGCCCAAGAGGTCCCCAAGACCGCTCCAAGACCACCGACGAGGCCCGCAAGAGGGCCTCAAGACGGGCCAAGAGGGCCCCCAGACGGTCCCAAGACCCCCAAGACGGCCCCAGAGGGCCCCGGGACGCCCCAAGATGGGCCCAAGACGCGCCAAGAGGGCCCCAAGAGGCCCCCAAGACGGCCCCAGAGGGCTCCGGGACGCCCCAAGATGGGCCCAAGACGCCGAAGATTGGGCCAAGACGGCCCCAGAGGCGGCCCAAATGCCCCAAGAGGCCTCCCAAGAGGCTTCCCAGCAGGGCCCCGAGCGGGAGAAATCGTCGATTTCCATTGTGTTTTTCTATGTTTTTCGCATTCTCCCCTTTTCGCCGTCCCTGCGCTCCAAGACGGCCCAAGAGGTCCCCAAGACCGCTCCAAGACCCGAGCGGCGCGAATGGCCAATACGGTCCAAGATGGCTCTCAGAGGGCCTCCGAGGGCCACTATCGCTTACTGTAGGCTCGCTCTGGGCGCCAAAGGGCCCTGCGGACCATTTTTCTAAGAAAAAGTGCTTGCAGACCCCTTTGCGGGCCACTTGACATGGCATGGTGACGTTTTCGTGTCGTGACGGCTCCGGTGGGTTGCATGCGCGGCTGACAGCTGGGCCGTTTGAGCCCGCGAGGCTCTGGAAGGCGAAGGCTCCGAGGTGATGGCAAGATGCCTGGAGGAGAGCGTGGATTCGTCGGGGCGCCCGAGCGGTGCGAATGGCCAAGATGGCTCAAGATGGCGTGGGGCCTTGGCAAACTCTTCGGGCCAAGCAGACCGGACCCCTGGGACAGCAGCCACTTGATATGACCCTGGGACCTCTCTGCATTCTTCGAGCGAGCACCTGGGGGGTCCAGGAGATTCGGACAAGTCTTCCCCATTCCTTGCCCTGTCCCGTTCTATTCGCCCGAAGGCCTCCACAGACCCTCTGGGCGAACAGAATGGGACATGGCGAACAAACCCTCCCGTTGGCGGTGATGCGACTTGATCGCACCATCAAGGCGCGCCCGGAGGTGATGGCCGACCCAACAGCGGTTTCTCTAAAGATTTTACAGAATTTCAAATTTTCTTGAAGCTCTCTTGGGCCCTCCCTGCAGATCCTTGCGAGCCTCCCCGGCGCTTTCGGTGGCTTTCCCCGATGGCCTCCCGAG